TATTTTCTAATCACTTGTTATTGTCGATCAGCTGCGTTTACTTTCAATACAAATTTGGTAGCATTTTTTCTTAAGGCCGACATATTCACACTGCTTTATATAAAAAAGTAACAAATTTTCCGCGATTTTCGGTTTTTGAATTAGAAATTTAAATTTTTAATTTTTTTATGATTTTCCACTAATTTTTAAATTAAATGCATTATCTTTTAGCATACAACTTTCTCAACACAACCTTTGTAACTGATGTGTATTCACTGCTTATTGCCTAATTTTCGTGGCTGGTGTTGAAACCCTGAAATGATAAAAAAATTTGTTGTTAAGTATATTTGTTACGAATAGATACTTATGCAAGTGCAATTAAATATGAAATCTTCAGATTTATGTCTAGAATTGTATACTTAAAAAAAGTTCTACATAAGAGGACCGTTGGATAGGTCAGTGATTTTTGGAATATCCCGCGTAGTACATTTAAAGCCAGTATCGCTCCTGTCAACAAAAACCTTTTAATTTTGAGCAAGCAACGGCATTTAATTTGCATTTGATCGCAATTGAAATCAGGAAATCTCGTAGGGAAAATGTGAAAGAGTAAATTTCGTCCATGATACATAATTACAGTCACGAACTTTTAACCCAACCAGCATATTCTGACAGTTAAGCTGCTTCGGACTAGTGATGGGCAAAAAATCACTATCGGCGACTTTTTCACAGCGATTTTCAAGTCACCGTTTATCACAGTGATTAAAAATATTAAATCACCGTTTTCCTATTTTTTTAGGTTTAGATTTTAGTGGCGATTCTTATGAAACTGCATCAATTGTGTTAACTCTTGTCAATGGACTAAAAAAAGTAATTGGAAAGCTTAAAACTCTTGAATTATACGATTGTGTTAAATCATTTTTGGAAAAGTTAGATTATAGCTTGCATAGTCGTTTCGCATATATAGAAAGAAGCCAAACATTAGCTGCCAGCACATTTTGCGATCCCCGATTTAAGTTAGTTCCATTTCATGAGCCTGAAAGGGATTGGGTGATAAAAAGCATAATTGCAGCCCTTTCAGAAAAAATTGGACAACAACACGACATAAGCAACATTCAAGAGACTGGCGATAATGCGGATGAGTTTTCTGTGTGGTTTGAGCACGACAAAAAAGCAGCAAACGTTGTGCCACAAGGAACACCTACGTCAAAAGCTATTATAGAGGTGCATAGATATCTGGAAGTAGGGATAATTTCTAGAAAATCAAATCCTCTTCAATGGTGGCGTGAAAACCAATATATGTTTCCAGTTTTGGCAGAGGTCGCTAAAGAAAAACTCAGTGCCCTTTGCACATCTGTTCCGTGTGAGCGCATTTTCTCAAAGGCTGGGTTGATCGTAACAGATAGAAGATCGCGGTTGAGTCCAGCAAAAACGGAGATGCTTCTATTTTTAAATTCAAATTCAAAATACTCATCTATACAATAAATGTTTATATAACTTATATTTACATTTTCAGCAACACAGAAACTTGTCACTTTTTATTTAAAAATGTAATAATATGAAACTAATATACATTTAAAGCTTTACGAATTGCATTTTAATAACGGTATTATAAAATTATGGAGTGCTTATTGCGTTGGCTTTTTTAATGGCTGTATCAAGCTGTACTATCGAAAATTCACATAATTCTAAAATAGTGATTCGAATCACCGATTAAAGTCACTGCTTTCAGGAAATCACAGTAACAGTTTTCACAGTGATTGTAAAATCACCGTTTTGCCCATCTGTACTTCGGACTAATTTCGGTTTCCAAACCTGTAAAAGAGTGGCTCGAAGGTAAGATAAAGAGCACATCACTGAAACAAATTCCTATTAAAGGCCTTGAGGAAACCTATAACAATTGAAAAAGAAACCCCTGCAATAAATACCTATACATATCGAGAAAAAAGCTTAGAATTTGAACCTACAATTGTCAATAAAACATAAATGTTTTGGAAAAGGCACTGACTTATCAAGCCGCTCTTGTATCATTTAATGTAGAAGTCAGCGAATGTGTTTATGAATGACAAGTAGTGATGCAAATTACAGATTCATAAAAAAATCGTGTATTTTGAAATACTACATCAGAATTATTTATTAACTTAACTTTAGGTGGGATATAAATTTATGCAAATAAGTTTTGCTTTTTTGACGTTGTACATTGTTAAATGGAAATGTTAAATTTCCTTCAACTAAAGGCATTCGTGATAAATAATGACAACAAAGAGTTCTTAATGCCGCACATATGTATGTAAGAGTATTTGTGTAATAAAACCGATCAAAAGAAAGATTTATAAATTTTTAGAAAATTGTGGTTGGAGAACAAATACTTTTAAAAGCGTGCAAGGTTTAGATTTCAAATAATGTTCATTTGGATAGCTTTAAATTATAAATGTTTTTTATGTAATATTGTTAATGGAATTTATTATTTAACATTAAATCAATAGGAAGTATAAAGTACGTCCAAGAAAATATTATCAGTGCTTTAAAATTTTAACCTAATAAATAGCTCAATAGTCAGTGGAACAAAATGGAAATAATAATACTTAAAAAGTATGCTGACTAAAAAAAAATATTTTCAACATCTTAGCCTACTCAGAATTCTGTAAAAAGAATATTTTGGGGAAAAAAAAAATTTAAATTTAACAAATTAAAAAAAATAAGTTAAATTAAAAATTAGGTGGTGATCCTATTTAGAAATTAATAAGATACAATTTTCTACTAGAAAAAAAAACTTGGAAACCCTCATCGAAAACATTTCTGGAATAAAGTTCCCAAAAATAAATTTAATATACATTTTAAGTTCTTTTAGTTAAATCTTAAATAACTTGCCATGTTTTGCTTAAGAGCTTTCTTTTGATACTCATAAATATGTAGTGCATAATTAACTTTCTAAACAAAAAATTTTATAAATTTAAAATGGAAAATAGATGGCAACCCTATTAGGTTTACTACCTTTTCGAAAAGTCATATCGATCTAACTAAGTGCATATGCATATTATACGGGAAGGCATTTTTTTGTGATAGTTATTAAATTTGCACAGTTCTTTCGAATGGGAGGTCAAACTAAAGACCTTAGCATTTATTTTTTTTATTTTTTTTTAACTAAGACCCGTTTTTATCGGCACGGTGGGCAGGAAGCAAAGATAGGTTGCATAAAAATGTCGACAAAAACTGAAAGCAGGGTTGTATTTGTTGATATTTTTAGGTTAAGAATCCCTTTGAATTGAAATCCTAGCTGCTCCTGTTTTAAAGATATCCACATTTTACATAGTTATGATAGGACCGACTTTTGCGAAAGAGAAAAACATCCTTGTGCATTAAATATTCAACAATGTATGTGTGAGTAAATGTGTGTATATATATTATGTGAAAATATATGTTTATGTAAGTTTTTAGCCGGTTTCAATCGTTTCCAAGGCGCTCCGCCGATCGGTGGTTAAAAATTTGATGAAATTAAAAACCTGCACTATGCGAGACCTCTCTTAACTCAGAAATGACTGCACAGCTTTGGATGAAATATGGCGCTCAGATCGCTTATAACTCTGAATAATATTTGGAATATATTTGAAATTCAATTTTGGGCATTTTAACGTCACGCGGGTTCACTAGTAGGTATTTAAAGACCCACAAGGGTAACTTATTAAAATCCAAATGCTGCGGGTGTTTATAATATAAAAAAGCTTTAGAAAAGTACGTAAAGTTAATAACTGAATGAATTTCTTCGAAGCTCACTATAATGTTCGCTACAGCTGTTACATAGCCCGCTTATCGAATTTTCATAGTAGTTAATAAACTTATTATTCCGTAACTCTCTGTGTCATTTCACGATTGTACATTTAAATTTCAATTACTCGCATACCGAATGATGTATTATTAAATTTTTCAAACCCATAAAAAAACGTTAAGTTTGAATAGTGACAGCATGAAAATAACGAGTGCTATTATTGCCATATACATACATACATATGTATGTGTGTCGTACATATTGTTGTATGTATGTATGTACATACATATGTACGATCATAGATTGGATCATACTCGTATTGCATCGCTAGATTTTCTTAGTTAAATTAGCAGAAAGAAGTGGCAGAAGCATCATGTTCATCTGCATGACTAATAGCTCACGAATTTCCGTTTACTGATACTATTTAATTAGCAACAATTTTTATGAAATTTTCAATGTTGAAAGGTTAACTAGTTTCCCAACTGATTTATATATATACAGCATCCGGAGGCAAAGAAAACCTAATAACTGCAGCCACAATTTGTTACGTATATATTTTTCGTTGCATCTACATACATACATACATATGTATTATGGCTTCTGGCGCTGGTGTTAATTACATGACAGCTGATACAATCTTTTAGTATTATGTATTTACATAACTATTTATACTAGGCACATACATGTAGTTGCCTTAATATAGAAAGACCCTATTTAACATTTTTATTTCTTTACAGAGTAGTTATACAACTTTTATAAAAAGTCAAGTTCTTCAGTACGGAGTTTCTTCATTACACTGGGTTTTAATAAATATAGAAACTAATTTTTTTCTTTAGTGAGTAACCTACCGACTTGTGAACACGGTTGAATTTCAAAACAAAATCAGTTAGCGCTTTTCTATACTAAGGTAATGATTTGTAAGTATGTATATCAGACTGTGCTAAATAAAATTCATGTTTTTCTTCTGGTCCCTTACGAAAATTTCCTTGTCGGTAAATGAAAAAAAAAATTTGTCTGCTACTTTTTTTAATAAAAAATAAAATGTAAGAAATAAAAAAACAAACTTGTAGCCAATTCAATTCTAGTATAACGAGTGCAAGTTTGAAGTAGCTAGGACTTACTGTAGATTTTTGGATTGTTTTTTTTTTTTGTTGTGTGTTCGGCGACAAAGAATGAACGAAACCTTCAACAAAAAAATTGCCAAAAATTTACGGTATATTCTAGCTACTTCAAACTTGCACTATTTATACTACAAGTAATTTTTAAGCAAAGGATTAAAGCGACTTCAATTCTCATATACAATTTAATGATTACGGTTAATTTCTTCATGATCGGATCGGATTTAAACCACCTCTGAGGTACCGCCTTTCCTTTAAAGAAAGAATTATAGAAATCGGTTACCGTGCTCCAAAGTTATGCGGTAATATAAATAGATAAAAAAAAAAATATTCCGACGAATTGACAACCTCTTCCTTTTTGCTAAGTCGTTTAAAAATGGAATGGGCTACAAGGTTGCTCCTTTATTTGTTATATTTATGTAAAATTAAAAA